TAAGTCGTACTTTGGAAATTTATATGCATTAAATAAAAGTTAAAAAAAAAAAAAAAAGTAAGAGAAAAAAAAAAAAAAAAAAAAAAAGATCACCCTTAGATGTAGATTTAATGAGGAGGTAACAACCAAATGGATTAGATTTCCCAATTAAGTAGAAAAATTTGGAGCTATAGCTACTGAAGTTAATATTGATGATAATCATTACTCTCTTGGACTAGACACTGTTGCAGCCTACTTGCTGCCTGCATTTCTTATCTATTAAGCATAGCTTTCCAGTAATAATCCTGGGATGCTTTCCAGCTTTCCCAAAGTAGAAATGTAGGTCATGTATATATTTGATCTTTAATGATAAACCAAGGGTTTTCAGTCCTTATGGACAGATGTTAAATAGTTGTACAAAATGTCAAGCAGTTACAAAAAAAGAAAATCTCTGTACAGAAGAATCACCAAATTAAGGCAACAGTCATTTGCAGAGGCTACTCACTCTTCCCTTTTTTTCCATGAGAATATTCCCCTACCATTCATTTTATATACATATATATATACATATATATGTATACATATACATATATACATATATATACATACACATATATATACATATACATATATACATACATACACACACATATATATACATATATATACATACATACACACACACACACACACACACACACATATATATATGTTAAGGTATCATAGTGCTTATGCCTTGAACCCAGAATGAAATCATGGGATAAGAAGTATCATAAATAAATGAAAACCTGATAGCTTTTATGTCATTAATTTGGTAACTCCAGGAGCCGGCGCCGTGGCTCAATAGGCTAATCCTCCACCTTGCGGCGCCGGCACACCGGGTTCTAGTCCCGGTCGGGGCGCCGGATTCTGTCCCGGTTGCCCCTCTTCCAGGCCAGCTCTCTGCTATGGCCAGGGAGTGCAGTGGAGGATGGCCCAGGTGCTTGGGCCCTGCACCCCATGGGAGACCAGGAAAAGCACCTGGATCCTGGCTCCTGCCATCGGATCAGCGCGGTGCGCCAGCTGCAGCGGCGGCCATTGGAGGGTGAACCAACGGCAAAGGGCAAAGGAAGACCTTTCTCTCTGTCTCTCTCTCTCACTGTCCACTCTGCCTGTCAAAAATTAAAAAAAAAAAAAAAAAAATTTGGTAACTCCAAATACAATAATTTGTGACAGGAAGTTCTGGTACTAATAAGAACCTAGAAATCTTAGCAATTATATATCTAATTATACAAGTATTCTTAGGATTCAAATAAGAAAATCATAAAATATGGCTGAATAAGGGGTTATTCCTTATTAAGGATAAGTCCTAATAAGAAAGTGTCAGAGGAAGAGCTCAATGTTACTTATCAATCCCTGATGAATAATTAACTTTATTTATTTATTATAAGGCCCTTTCTGTACTACATATATACTTTTTATCCACCACAGTTCATGTTATATATTGGATCAGTCATTTAGAATTTCTTCAGAGTTCAATGACTCTTTCTTCAATAAAGGCAACATTTTTTTAATTTATTTACTTATTTGAAAGGCAAAGTTACAGAGAGAGGGGGAGAAACAGAGTGAGAGAACTTCCATCCTGAAATGGCCACAACAGCCAAGATTTGGCCAGGCTGAAGCCAGGAGCCATGAGCTTCATCCAGGTTTCCCATATGGGTTGCAAGGCCCCAAGTACTTGAACCATCTTCTGCTGTTTTCCCATGTGCGTTAGCAGGAAGCTGGATTAGAAGTGGAGCAGCGGAGACTTGAATGGGCATCCATATGGGAAGCTGATGTCACAGGTGACAGCTTTACCTGCTATGCCACAAATCCTGGCCCATAACATTGGGTTTTAGTGGGGACAAATGAACATATACATACAACATAAAAGAATATTGACAAGTGAGTTTGTCAATTACTAAACCTTACATATTTATTGTTTATATAGCATAGATGATTTGTTAGAATTTAAAAGGTCATAATTTCTAAATTATGTTTAACAGAAAACTTTCAAAAAATTAAAACTTCAACACCATATATGTGCAGTTTCCCAAAAGACTCTAACAGTCATAAATATGTCCTAGAATTCTTTCTCTATACAGATTTATTTCTGTCAATAAAGCATTCAATTTTATAAACATTTAAAAAAAACTCTTCACATATTCCATTCTGCATCTCAAGTGATAGAGTAGGAAGAACAATGTAGAAGGAAATGATAATGTTCCAACATAAAACAAAGCTTTAGAAACATCCAGACAGGGGGCTTGTGCTGTAGCATAGCAGGTAAAGCTGCCACCTGCAGTGCCAGTATCCTATATGGGCACCAGTTCAAGTCCTGGCTACTCCACTTCCAATCCAGCTCTCCGCTATGGCCTTGGAAAACAGTAGAAGATAGTGCAAGTCCTTGGTCCCCTTTGCCCCTGTAGGAGACTAGGAAGAGGCTCCTGGCTTCAGATCGGCGCAGCTCCAGCTGTTGCTACCATTCAGGGAGTGAACCAATGGGTGGAGGACTTTTCTTTCTCTCTCTGCCTCTGCCTCTCTGTAACTCTGTCTGTCAAATAAATAAATAAATCTTTTAAAAAAAAATAAAGAAGCATCCAGATAAGTGAGAAGACACAGACACTTCCCCAGGAGGGAACCAGAGGAATTCTGCAGATAAGAGTAGAACTCTGGTCTTTTAGCTCAATACTGTCTTCAAAAGGACAGAGATGGCTTCAAAAGCTGTTAAGTGCATGACTAGCAGAGGTAATGATAGAAATGGACTACAAGCACTGATGATTGGAGGAGTCACAGGAATCTACACTGGAAGAGATGGCAGTTTGTTTGGATTTTAGAGCGCAGAGTAATGGCCAGAGTCA